TTTCCTTCTGTTCCAATTCCTTCTCCCACTTACTTTCATTTTATTTTCTTATTATTGTATGTTTTGCACAACTTAATGAAAACTATAATCACAAAGGGAAAACAAACTTGTTCAATACAATCACTTATGGACCCACCTCCCAACGCACCACATGGCTCAGGTTTGTATTTCCTTCCAGAGCTGGTCTGCAAGCATCCACATTTTTATCCAGGCATGATGACAGAGTAAATATAATTTTGTATTTTGCTTTTTTCATTCAATGATATATAAGAACCTTGTTTTCCCTATTACAAAATTACATAGCATAATGAAGAACAGCTTTGAATAACAAAGTGTCCTTTCAAAGTATCCACTTGGTTTAGGTAGCTGTCAGGGGGTTCCACATCCAGGATGAAAAATACTAGAGGAGAATAAGCAGGTCCAGTGGGTGGGGCTGAGCAGAGCTGACCACTGACTGAATGACCTCCAAACTCCCACGCTTTGGAGGTCTCAGGATTCCATAATTGTTTCCTTGAGCGCTACCCTACGGGCCCTAGAGCACCTCTTTGGGAATATGAGAGGTCCCTAGAGGCAAGGTTAATCTGGGGATCTTGTCTCCTGGCTCAGAGAACAGCAAAAGGAAGGCTCAAGGGGAAACTTAAATGATGACTGCTCCCCTAACACCAATCCAGAAGAGACTGAATGGACTCTGAAGCAGCCTGGACTAGGACCACTGCTATAGACTCATTAGGAGCTGCCCGGCCACGTAAAGGTGAAGTGGAACAGGGTTGTGGGGTCTGCTGGAACCCAGGAACCAGAGGAACTGCAGCCTGGGAAGTGAAGGCCTGCATTTTAGAAGCCAACTTTTCCAGGAGAAAGTCCTCCCAGAGGGATTGTGAGGTGTTTGGGGCTGATGCCATATCTCATAACCATCTTTAGAACTGTGTGCTTGGCAGGGTTTCAGTGTTTGCTGCATGAACGAAACTGAGCCAGCTGCCTGAGGAAAGCAGCTCATAGAGGCAGCACCAAAAAAAGACTTCTGATGAATGAGCTCTGCTCCCCTTGGGAACCAAGACAGGCAGCCTGGAGCCCCTGACAGGCAGCTCCGCACTCCGCTCAGAAGCTAGGGAAACGTGGATGGAAAAATACTACGGGCTGGGGACTGAAGCAGCTCAACTCCAGTATCTCTGGTGAGCTTCCTAGTCGTATTTCCCAGGAAACACGAGAAAACAGAAGGGGTAGACAGTACTGATTTCTTTCTAACCAACAGATGATGGTGAGGAGGAGGGAGGCAGCACATCCAACTACGCAACATTATGGGGTTTGAGCTGATACAGGTGGTTGGAACTAGATGCAACATGGCTGACCCAGACCCACAGAACGCAATGAAGACTGTCTCAGAGGGAAAGAGATTCATGAAAAACATTGCATTTGTTGCAAAATATTCTAATCTCAATTCACTCCATCATCTGGGTGTGTATATGATGGTCAATTCCTTTACTGCTTTGTCTCTGGCTGCTGTAAAAGATATTTACCTTAGAGAGCTGAGATTTCTGGGTGCCTCTTCTCTATACAGGACAGAAAAATTCTGAGGGCTGAGCTGCATACTGAGAGAGAAAGAAAGAAAAATGAGACACTGCACAGGAGCTCCTCTCTCCTGAGGAGGAAAAGTGTTACCAGCCTTAGGCCAGGGCACAGAGGAGTGATGCTCCAGAATCTTAGTTTCTGCTTAGGGCAGAGCCTCTCAAGAGTCGGGGGTAGCTTTGTGGAATGGAAGGGCCACAGAATAACTGCAGATTCCGTGGTAGCAGGCTGGGTAGGGAGGGGAGACAGAGCGTCTTTGTTTTTTCTTTGCTCGTGATAAAGAGAAGGTAAGGGGCAGGGGGCGGAGGGGCGGGTCATGGCCATCAAAACCATGAGACAGTTCAGGCACGAAGCACCAAGCAGTCCGAGACTGACGTCTGGAGCTGCTCTTCTTCCCAAGGCTGGAATCAGAACATGAGGAGCTGTCCTCTAGAGTTCTAGGAGGCAGCACTCACTGTGCTCTAACAGGAGGGATTCTCTGGTGTCACTTCTCGACCCCTGTAGACAAAGGGGCAAAGAGGTGAGAGTGCAGAGAAGCAATGAGGTCAGAGGGCACAAGGAAAGGGAGAAGCTGCCAGACAGTGGGTACTTAACAAGACTCCTAGTGTTAACCCTTACCGAGTATCACCTCTGGGTCTGCTGGGAGGATGTCCAGAAGTCTCAAGTCCAAGCTAGATCTGGGAACACCGGACTCACAACTGTCAGCACTGGTGGGTGGATTTCTGAGCATGGAATAGGTAGGAACATAAGCACAGAGGCTGTGTGTTGGCCAGGGAGTCCTCTCCGGCATGTAGAGAACCTGGATCTTAACTGGGCAAAGAAGTGGGTCCTGGAGTTGAATCCAGAGAGCCAGGTGAGGCCCACACTAGTGAAGGCTGGATCTCAGAAAATGTTGGCTCTCCTGCTAATAACTGCAGGAGCGTAAGAGAGATTACAGAAGGACGCAGAGTGAAACTGTGGTAGGACGAAACTTGTGTGACCAATCTTAGTTCACAGGACCAAGCCACGTAGTGGTCACACTGGGTAGGGAGCTGGTGCTGGAAAACGTCACCTCGTTTGTGGATGGTAATTGGATGTGCTTTACAGTGACTCCAGAGGTGCCTAAGTGAATTATCTGGTAAGACAAAACTTAGCCAGTTTTTATTCATAGGGACAATCCTGGTCATGTCCACACTAAATGAGGAAAAGGGTACAAGAAAATGTTCGTTCCTTTGTGGGTGGTAATTGGAAGAGCTTTAGGGTGACAATGGAGTAGCTTAGAGAGAAACTGGGTAAAACCCAGACGGCTAAGTTGGCTTCAGAAGGACAAGGTTGGGAAAGAACTAATTTCTTAAATCTACTGGGTCAGTGAGCCCTGCCCTGGAGACAGGTCAAATGAAGCGGCTCCCCATAAGGTCTGATTCTTAGAGTCAAAAAAAATTCTTTTTAAGATAATAGGGTGAGACAGACCAAGAGTTGTCACATAGAAAGAAGAAGCTTCAAACAAGTAAGACTTGAAGTCGACATCGAGAATAAAACGAAAGAAATGTAGATAGAGGGAGAAAGAAGAAAAAGGCTTACTAGGAGAACGATTAGTGGTGCTGAAACGCAACAGAAAAGGGCAAGGAGGCAAGAGACAAGCATAGTGTGCAGCGACATGGAAGAGAACCAATGAAATTAAAATAAATTTTTCTTTCCTTCTTTCTCATTCACTCCTTTTTTCCTCTTCTCACAATTATGGAGTGCCTACTATGTGTCCAGCTAAGTCCTGGAGAGAAAATATAAATAAAGCTCCCTCTCTGCTCTCTGGGTCACTGCTTGGGACAAACTGGGAGATGACAATAGTAAATTGCTGATAAGGTGGATATCAAGCTTTTAAGAGGAATCAAGGATTGTCATGGAGTGACAACAAATCATATATCCAAAGAGTTGGCTACCAGGGATCCCATCCCTGATGAAGACAGGGAAGTGAGCCTGCTGTGGAGAAGGGCCCAAGTGAGGAGGGAGGTGGGCAGCTGTGAGAGCCACTCCCAGGGCCTAGAGGCTCTGATGGGCCACAGACTTGGCCCCCAACCTCCCACCCAGAGGTCAACGTGCTAGTGGCTGCCGTTTCTGGAGTAAAAGGTTGAATGGCCTGTGCTCAAACACCAGGCCACCAACATTCCCATCATCACAGGACCAAATGGCCCACGTCTAGTGGCTTGGCGACCTCAGGAAGATGCTACCGTCCAAATGCCTTGGGAAGTTCAAGAGAGTCACTCAACACTGCAGGGTATAGGGCAGAGAGAAGAGTCCATATCTGTACTCTGTTTGGGGTTTGGACAGGGCCACCTAGAGTATCACTAGACCCCGAAGCAGACATCTGTGTTACAGGGAATTTTTAAGGAGACTGGGAAAAGTTCCTATTTTTTAGCATTTCCCACTAATATATATTCTTTAATATATTATTGATTGATGCTCTGCTTCCAAAAGGTTTTTGAGGTTGCTTTTGTTGGTAGTAGATTCCCTTCTTCACTTAATAGGGAAGAAACCTCCAGGAGAAAGAGATGGGGCAGATAAATTTTAATATGAGCAAACGCAGAATAAACCTCAAGTATTGACATCACAATGGAGGCCCTGGAGAAGAGGGGCATCCAACCAGGTCACTGCTCAGAGAGGGGAATGGGAAAAGGATTGCAGGAGGAAGAACAACTTCTCTTCAGAGTTCTGCAATATATATTCCGTCCACCTACACAAAATGTAAGGAACATGTATCCTTGGTGTGGACCTAAAAAACACAAAAATAGGAACAACACATTAGTTATTCTCTTGAAAGCATCTAGCATACAGAATACAGAGTAAAATGCTGAGACCCCAATTTCCCATCCACTGACCTACCCCAAAGGTAACTACTCTAGACAGTTTACAGTTTTTTTATGCATTTATATAATCATTTTTTTCAAACATAAGTCTCATTAAGCTATACATGAGTTTTTCCCATCAGCACATAGAGCTTTTTATTCTTTTCATGTAACAGCTACATGAATACTAGATTTACGCATGAACCCTATTTTGTTTGACCATTCTTTGGATGGTCAATGATTTTTTTTCCTATCTTGTTTTATTAAGTACATTTCTACCATGTTAATCCTTATATTAGTCAAGGATCTGTGTGTTATGAATCATTACATAAACTTAAGGTGGATGTGTAATTAAAGCCAACTTAATAAATGGTTTTCTTTTATAAAGAGAAATGTGAAATGTTCCCATAGAATTAAGACCAAGAAACACACTTTTCATTAAATATCTGTGAGTAATTTTTAAAATAGATGCCATTTCTCTAGCATGCTCAGGGAACACAGTCTGGCAAGGGAGAAGTAGGGGAGTGTAGTGAGGGAGGAAGAAGAGACAGATAAAATCTTGACTCTTTCTGAAGCTCAGCGGGCAAAGTATCAATAACACACTTGTTACCACATTTTCTAAAACAAAGCTTCTCAACTTTTGAACGTTCGAAAATACGAATAAATTTAAGAATTCCTACTTAAAATATGGAAGCAGACACTTTCCACAGACTCTCTATTTTCCATGAAAAAAATAGCTCTGCAGACTAGAGAAAATGGCTTCACAGATTTTAGGAACCAGAACTCTAGAATGTTGTTACAAAACGCTCTGGAGGTACATTTTTGTCTACACACGTGGGCCAGCTCATGTTAAGCCAAGGTTTATCAGACGGGGGATGGTTTATCCTCTCCACTCCTGCAGTCCTAGTCACCAACCCTGGAATTCTTTCATGACTGTATTTACCAGGAATGTACAGTATCAAGTGATCAATAAGCGATGGAGGATCTGAATTTAATTATTAGTCTGGTAAATAACTTGACATTAGTCATCTTTGATTCCTCAGAGGCTGAAAGATTCAAAAACAGACAAAGTCACGAACACAGTATGGTCTTTCTGTCTTCCTTTTAACATATGTGTTTAACTACCTCTTATTTAGAACTTTCTATAGCCCAGGCTCTGTTCTCTGGCTTTGTGCTCTGCCTGTTCCTTGTCTGTAAACCAGGGGTAATAATAACAGTACCCACCTCGTAGAGTTGTCACGAGGTTACATGAGGTTAAGTGACCCGTCCAAGGCCGTATACCTAACGCCATGCTTTGCCTCCTTGACAACTGGGTCAGCTTCTGCTTCCCTTCCCTGCTGGCTCATTCACTCTCCCAATTGACTGCAAAGTGATGGAGCTGAGGTGCAACCTAAAAGTCCTATTCAATACCCTTTTTACTCATCTGCAAGTTTTTCAGCCCTTGCTCTTAATGAGTGCTCAGTTGAAATTTATGATATAGAAAAATATTTTTACATATTCATTTAAGTCTTGATTTAAAATCTCATAAATACAAAACCCAAATGAAAAAGAAACTAAGGAATTTTTAAATAATTTTGAGAAATTACGAAAGCTTCCTCCCTTTCCTTTAACTCTTATCTGACAACAAAATTTGATATTTGGAATAGAAAAGGAGTTTGTCCCGGCTTACGTCAATTTGGATCAATTGTAAACAGCTTGTTTTTCTAAATAAACTTTCCTGGTTAGGGCAACCATTAACCACATGTTAATTAGTGACAGCGATCCAATATTAAAACTCAAGAAACAAAGATAAAACAATGCATGTCCAGGTGTGACATTCCGTATAAGCCCCACATTCATTCCTCACAGGCACCTGTCCAGAGCCACTGTCCACCTTCCACGGAATGCCCTCAGCCGCGTCTCCCACTGGCAGGTGACGCGTGGTTTTCCCCTCTCATCCAGGCCCCCAGTTGTATGGCTTCTAGCTATGGACTGACATTTTTTTTTTTTTTAAAGATTTTATTTATTCATTTTTTTCCCCCCAAAGCCCCAGCAGATAGTTGTATGTCATAGGTTCACATCCTTCTAGTTGCTGTACGTGGGACTCGGCCTCGCGCTGGACGGAGCAGTGGTGCCTTGGGGCGCGCCCGGGATCCGAACCCGGGCCGCCAGCATCAGAGCGCGCGCACTTAACCGCTAAGCCACGGAGCCGGCCCTGGACTGACATTTGAACAATAAAAACACGCAGCTCATGTCACCTTACAGGGTCCCAGGTTCCCTGCGCACAAGTAGTTTCAAAGACCCAGCCAACAAGGGCATCAGGCTAACCACAGGCTGGAGGTTTCCTGTCAGGCAACTGCTTTTCTGTGATGTTTTTTCACTTTTTCTTGGGTTTTCAGGGAGCCCATGCTCCCCTGCCAAGGATCAAAAAGTTTTGCTTTCACAAGACTTGTCCTTTGCCACAGTCCCTCAGGTCTGAAAACCACTTTTAATCCATTAGTTTCATTTAAAAGCCTATTCCTGAGGAGAGGAGACAAGATGGCGGCGTAGGCAGACTCTGAACTCACCTCCTCCCGTGGACACAGCCAATTTACAACTACTCGTGGAAAAATTACCCGAGACAGAACTGAAAACTGGATAAGAGGAACTCCTGCAACAACGGACAATCCTAACTGAGGTAGAAGAGGCAGAGACCCCCTTCCGGAGAGGAAAAACGC